TTATTGTTTTGCATTGAACCTTGACCTGTACATATGAAAATTAGATTAAACCCATTTCAGTACATTTAAAATTTATCTTTTCAAAGAGTCACTTGCTATGGATACGCGGTCAGGAAAAACTCAAATAGCTTCTTAAAATCTTAAGTGCAATGAATTTGGGGCAATAAAAAAAATTTAGAAAACATGAATGGGAAATGGTAATTGGGCCACATATATACCTCCCCTGCCACACTGAGTGTCAGACAAATGTGGATTATTATAGAGAACCTGCACACAGTATCTGGAGTTGAACTTGACTTCACAGTGTCTACTACTGCAAAAATGGTTTCAGTTACAGCTGGAGCTGTTTACAGAAAGCTATTTCAGTTTTCCTGCACTCAAATTAAACAGTTGTAGAATGGAGTGCTTTCAAACAGAAATGAAAAGGCCTATTTATTTGATATCATGAGCCAAACAGAAAAGATAAAAGTACCGTTAATTACCCAAATGTCTAGTTTCACTCCCAGGTCCAAGTGTGATGCTCTGTATGTTCTTACTGGTGGTCAAAGAGGTTCATGGTCTCTCTTATAGACTGACGTGGCCGATGCTGATTCCCTACTCCTGCTACTTGGCTTGTTCTTCTAGGGCATTGACAAGAGGTATTTAAATCCTAAAGCACTATAGTAGATTCCTAAAGGAGCCACTTATTTGCAACTCTTCTTATTTCCCTACCAATTAAATCTGGGCTGCCCTGTGACCTGCTTTGCACAATAGATAGCAGCAGAAGTGACRTTGTGTGTGTTTAAGCCAGGTGTCATGAGTTGGTTCCCGTTTCCAGTTTTTTCTCCATTCCCAGAGCATCAGCGTCATCTTAGGTCCTCTGAAATACCGACAACCAAYTGGCTGACATCTCTCTTGACAGGCCCAAGTGCCCTCACCACACCAGGACAGGCAGTACAGCACACACAGCAATAGCAAAGAGGTGGTATCACGACTCTCTTGCTTTCCCATAGATTTCTCATTCATTTGGGATGGGTCATAAGAGACCAGGCTCAACAGGTGTGGCCCAGCTGACACCTGGAGGCCATCAGCTAGGTGGACATGCAGGTCCCTTTCTACAGTACAGCTYTATTTCATCAAGACTGGTTACTCACCACTCAATAGCAATCTCAACAATGAGGCCCAGTTTCCAGGACAGCTGGGTAGTCTTAGGTTGAATTCCACAAGTATCTTTCAACATATTCCTAAGTTAGCAGTATTGTAAAGGGGGCTCAATCAAAGGTCGTCTAGCTAAATAAAGGAAGTCAGAGGAGGGCCACATGGCCAGCTGTTCACCTCTTCTTCTAGCATCTCAATGGCATGCAATGACATAAACTGATAGCTGTCAAATGTTCAGAATTGGGCTGTGCAATCTGAATCTGTTTCAATCTGAACTCTAGGATATACATGAGAATGAGACACTAGCAAAATAAAAATGATCAATGCCTGAGGTCTAGGGAAATATACATACCCTGCTCATGGTAAAAAGCAATTCTTGGCTGGTTCTTCTTCTACAARGAAAAGTTTAATATATATWAACATATATTACATATTAATTAATATCATTATATATTAGTTATGTAACAATTATATAATATATAATATCAATTATATGTTCTATATTAATATAATAAATATTACATATTAACCATTATTATTATATATTAATTAATATATATTAAACTTTTCTTTGTATATGTATATATACACACATATGTATATATATATGTGTGTGTGTGTGTGTCTATACATACTTTTTATTGCTCATCAGGCAATATAGAGCATCTTCCAAAAAGACAGAAGGAAAGCCTATATCTGAAARTGACTAACTATAGAAATCAGAAGAAAGATTAACTAATGATTGTGCATCTTTCTTAATGTGAAAAAAARAAMMAWTKKKKTYYYC